GTGACATGAGGGAAAAAGTTGTTCACACTTAAAAAATACGTAGTCCTAAGCGCTAAATGCAATCACGGGAAAATAAAAAAAAAGAAACGGTATTGTTGCATACTTCACTAACTTTTGCGATGTAATAGCATGCAACAGGATAGATTCCATCGTGATATTCTCGAACCAACAGCGGGAAATCGGCCGGCAAGAATGTCTGGATGCCGAAAACTGTTGAGTACGTCAATTCAGAAATGTAGTAAAACAAAGCTCCTTTGATATTGATCACACCATCCTGAATTTCATTATTTCTTGAAATAAACACTCGCACTTTAGTCTCTATGAATGGCCGAGACACACGGGATCAGCCGAGTGGTACCCGTTGGAAAAGCTGTCGATGGTTTCCTCTTCCAAGAATTAGTTAGAAGCAAGCTAATAGCAGTTTAAATTCTGACATGTGCCAGCATTAAGTTAACATCGAATTGTAGAGGAATTTCGAAGCGATTGAACGAGTCATAAAGGAACTGACTGTCTCACTGGCGAAGTCGAACCAATGACGAAGCAATAATTCACGAAATTTCCAACCAAACTTAGGATGAAATTTCTTGAGAGGCTGCTAAATTCAAAAGTAATTCAACCTGGTCCATATTGGTTCGCAAATACAGCGTGCCAAGAAAAAATCCCATAAAAACTTTTTGAATAAATTTTGCTCGTAACAGTGACGGATTTCGTACATTGTCTATCAATGATCTAAATGAATAAATTTCAAAAATTAGGTCGTTGGTCAAGTTTCCCCAAGTGATACCGTTTAATAACACAAGTTTGAGGAAGCGGAAACGAGAGTTAGGATCGCCGGCAGATCGGCTTTCAGGTGAAACAGCACTGGTCAAGGTATTTGAAAAAGTTGCAAGCTGCAAGGCTGGAGAACCAGACCATGAATACAGCGCCTAATTAAAGCGCAAAGTACGCATTTTTATTGAAGAACGCCTTCAAAATCGACTTATTTTTTTCGTACTTACACTGCCGCCAGAAGCCAAATTTCAGCGATGTTTATCCCCAAACACAAGACTCCGCAAACTGATTTTGAATTCACAAATTCTGACAAACAAATTTTTTTCACAGGCTATAATAGTTCTAATAAATTTTCATAGGCTATAATAGTTTAGATTGTCACGTAACACTTAAGAATTACGAGTTTCCGAAGTGGAAACAAATTTTATGGTACTCAAAAGATATACAATTTACACGCTATATGTTTAATTAATTTCCGAAAAATTACCTCAAAAAAAGTGCATAAATGAGTCTCGAAATTGATGCTTTACCGCGATCCTCTAGCCCTAACTGAGCCCAAGCTTTGCTCTTCTCCAAATCTCTTCGCACCCTTCTTTCATATTTCGAACGTACGAACTGAAAAAAAAAGGAATAGATATTTCAGATAGTAGCAAAAAAGAAATGAACCACGCTGATTTTATTCTTCAGAAGACACAGTCAGAAGCCGTAACCCTTTCACATTTGATTTTCCTGGCAGATGAGTGGCTTGAGTGACAGCATTTTGTTTGTTAATAGAATCTTCTAGGTGGGAAGGGATCCGAGGACTGCATAAGAAGCAAACTGATCTAAGCTTCCAGTATGTCAGTAGCATCGAAACGAACTTCGGTCTTCTAGAAAACAAACGAACAACTTAGAGTCTAACAGTAGGCGTTAATTACTTTTATAGTAAGCCTGTCAGCAGTAAAAATTATGACATTTAATCACGATAACCATACAAAACTCAATATGTCACATAATAATACAGGGTTTGAGAAATTGCTGTGACTGTTGCTGCATCACCTATTGGCCATTCTGCTGATAATTCTGGTTCCTTGCTACACTTTTCGTTTCCTCTTTTTGAAAAGAGAAAGGCCGACAGTGCAATGAAAGGATCTATTTGTACAATCAGATGGACTTATGTGGATGAAAGAGGCCCAAAACAGAGAAGAATGGAGAATTTGCCAGCTGCATCAATGGCGGTAAAACAACATCTGATCAAAGTCTCTAAGTAATGCTCTCATAATGATGACTCAACGGTCACTGGTATGGTCAGACTGAGGGTTAATGTTGTGGATGATATATATGAAAGGTTTGGAATAAATCAAG